AATAATATTATTGGCACAAGTTGAGAAAGAGCTTTCCATTTTCATTAACAGTGGAATTTGTTGGAAAGGAAAGAAGGGCAAAAGAGAGTAAAGGGTGAACGAGAGAAACATTTCATAGTGAGTGTGGAGGAGGGAGAGCGAGAGAGAGAAAGAGAGAGAGATGCAGATTGTTTTAAATCCGCAGCGAGTCAGGCTCTCAAATTTATGCCCATGGGCTGCTTCTTGGGTGGGCTGCTGGGAGGGCGGTGCGCTAGCTGGAGCAGGGGAAAGTTGCCGACTCCAGGCTGCTCGCCTTGCTCTGAAGCTTGGCTTTTCCTGCTGGAACACATTTACAACTCAACCGTCCTGACTGGCTGACTGACTGCTTGGCCCTGCCCTTCCCGACTGACTCTTTCTTTCGCTTATTGAGCAACCATTTTCAATGTTTTCGAGGTTTTATCTCTTTAATGGTGCCTTTCTCGTTTTAGCAATGGAAATGTCACTAGTATCTACAACAAAACCGTTGTTTTTGACACTTCACATTCCAGGAGTAAACTAATTTTCTCATACAAGTAGTTTTTCCTCCAGAAATAATGTACGTCTCTACCCAAGAACTTAGATAAGATAAGTTGTCATTCTGTCTCCTCTGTATTTCATCCCAGCAATAACTATTTGTTTTTCTCAACTACCAGCCATAATGCACTTTGTTTTCACAGTGTAGATTCAGGGCTGGATATATCATCATCCTTGTGTCAGCTTAACATAAAACGTTATAAAAAGTCAATTGTAGAAAGAATCCTGTTGTAAAAGAAATATTCTAACTTAAAGTTTAACAGCGTGTCTAATTTAACAGGTGATTACCTTGGTTTTAAACAAAACCAGTTTGAGTTCTTGTACTCAAATACTGAAAGCCTGTTCAGTGCTGAGCTTCTTTAACTTATTTAAAAGAACAGGGAGGTTTCCTCTGCCTCTCTGAATACACAGCGAGGGCATGACATCGGCTGCATGTAAATCAGCCTCGCAGCTTTGCAATAATCTAAACTTCAAATTTAGCGGCTGGTGTGTCGGTTCACCAAGATAATGTGCTGACACACACATAGACACGAATACATGCATGTACACAACAACAATAAGAGACCAGAAGGAAGTAAACAAGTTGCTTTAGGATGAGCAGGGATCATTTATCTTATAATTTCTGTTAAGGCTTTCAGCACAAAAATTTCTTTCGAAGTAAAAAACACATTTTCCTTCAAGTTAAAACACTGCTTTAGAAAAGAAAAGAAAACTGTTTTAGAGAAGAAAAGAACACTATGTGGGTGTACTTCTTCCTCCCAGCAGTCTTGGTTCATTCCAGCCTGTGTGTCTGGCTGCTTTGTGAGCTAATTCGCTCTGAAGGTATTACGGTTATTGGAAGGCTTGTAAACCATTAAGTCTTTATTTACAAGAGAAAGAAAAGAGGGTCTGGGTAACTGTGGGGGCGAGCTAGGTTTTGGTATGGGCGCTGACCCCACTGTAAGTGATCAGAACAACTGTAATTCTCTGTGCGAAGGACATCTGGTCCTATTTGCAGCTGGGTGCAGACCACTCCTCAATTACATAATTGTGCCCATTAATTACATGGGGAGGGCCTTCATTTCCTGGTAGCCAATAACTAACAAACAGAGAGCCAGTAACGGAGGACTCTAACACACACACATGATTATAGCGTGTGTGGTGAAACATAAAACATGGCCTCCCATGTATAAGAGCAGCCCAAGGTTAAAAAAGCATGCATCAACATCCCAGACGCTCATGGAAAACTTCATATTTTACGTTAAGAGTTTATTTCAGCATAAAGCAGGAGGGAGGCGACACAGTGGTAACACAGCTGTCGGTTCAACACTTGTTCTTGATGGTAAAACAGCTTTTTGTTACCTCAGCATCAGTAGACCGTGTTGTTGGCCACACACAAAGCTCAGGTCATTTTTCTTGGAGAAGATGTGGAGAGACAGCTACCTACATGTTGTGTTTGGATGCAGGTGTGATGGCTGTGGTGGGTTTCACACCGAGGCTGTGCCACTCAAATGTTTTATTTCCAAATGTCCACATTTTTTTGTTTTGCGCTTAGCAAAATAAAGCTCACTTTAAGGACAGTCCTACAATATTTTAGGTTTTTTATGTCCTTGTTCCTTGTGTCCCAACTGTGTACTAAAAGTAATGGGGGGAAAATTGTAGGTCTGCAATTCACAAATATTTTCATTATTGATTAATCATTTTGTCTATAAAATGTAAAAAAAAGGTTCCCACAGCCAAAGTTATGCAACTTTAAATGTCCTGTTTGGTGCAAGCAATAGTCCCAACTAAATAATAATGAGTTTTTTTAAGTATGAGAAAAAAAGTATCTTATACATTTTTGAAAAGCCAGAATGCATGCAGTTAAAAATGACTAAAGCAAATTTTTGATAGTAAAACATATTACAGATGTATCAGCTTATCCAATAATTCATTAATTGTGGCAGATTCAAACAATAGTTAACCGGCCCTTTGCTCTGAGTTGTGTGGTTCCCATGCTGGGAACTGACCTGCTGCTGCAATCAGCATGAAACAAATGTTGGAATGACAATGCGGCTGTCGCAGCTGTTGTTTTCTCAGGTCCAGAGCTGTTGTCCTCTCCTCCTCCTCCTGTACTCCTTTCTTCTGATGCTCCTCCTGTCGTCATCCCCGTCCTCATGCCAGGGGGTGCAGAGCGGACCGGCTACAGGACAGGAGCTCACACCTGCTAGCAGAAGTTTAAGGAGAGCGTGGGATAATGGAAGAGTAACTGGTGGGGGAGAGATACTGTCTTTCTGTGCGTGTGGGAGAGAGACAGAGAGAGGGCAGCATACAGTGAAAGGAAGAGGCTGTGAGAGAGAGTCTCTTGGTCTTTAGACTGCGGGAGGATCGAGGTACCATGCTGGGCATTTATGCCGGGGCTTATGGGACCCGACTCGGCTGAATACACAGAGGGTCAACAGGGATCCACGCTCACTTTTCTTTTCACACAGAGTACAGCGCTGTGTGTTCGCCCTATGATAGACCAGCGACCTGTGCAAACTGGTTCTCTGCCTTTTGCCCAGTGCATGCTGGGAAATGCTCAACAAGATGAATGGGTGAGAAAAGCTGCCAGACTGCATAGTGCATTTTTTTATTCATCATACAACATCCTTACCCAAACTGGGACATTGACAATTGACAAAATGTTTTGATTCGTGCATTTTTTTTTTCTTTAAATCTATTTCTTTATTACTCTCTGGTGGGACAAATATACTATATCACTCCCTCAAATATATAAGTAGATCAATAAAATAAAAGAACCCAAATAAGATAAAAAATTAAACCAGATTAGGCAAGTTTGCATACTCAATTTCCCTGTACTGATGACACTTTTGGCATGATCATAACACTGGAATGGCTTCGGAGTTCACAGCGTGAAAAATAGAGAGACAAGATAAGTGATAATATTCAGGAAAACAAATATATCTTAATTCTGAAGATCTATCAGAGTGTGAAGTTTAACCAAAACCGTTATCCTCTGAGAACATTTATAGAATAATTCTCATGCAACTGTTGCTCTTCAATGTATCTCAGAAAGGGTGTTTATATGTAGAAGTATGGCACTAAATCCACTTTCTACTAAATGTGATGACTCCACAGCAAGTTGTGACTTTCTTGGACTTTCCCAGCCGCTGATTGTTCCACCAGCAGTTAAACCACCTTTGTCCATCACTCTGTTCCTGTGAGTTATTTTCAGGACGGGACAGGCAGTTGTTCTGCTATGGCACATTTATTGGCCCTTATTAGCCAGCACCTGTAGTCCATTAAGAGCCCCGCTTTGCTGACGGACAGACAGATACATACTGTCTTTTGAGTTCTGTCTTTTGGGATATGAACAAAAATTTGTTTTGCGGTAGAGAACAATCTCTGGATGTTCAAAGTTTCAAACACTGTAACCCACAGGATCCCTTTCAAAGGGGTTATTTATCGACTCTTGTCTTCTACTGCAGCTGTGGAGCAGAAATGTGGTGAGCACTTGTGCGTGTCAATGTGTCTGTGTGAATGTTAAGTGCTGTGTGCGTGTGCTCGGGCATACAGTGGGCGAAGGGTCCCAGATGTTGTGCAGGGCGGGAAGTTGTGGTGATTTTGAAGCTATGGGCATTCGGGTCAATTAAGCACCATGTCAAATTCCCACTGTCATCTGATATTGGTCATATTTTAATAAATAATGTAAAAGGTCAAAAAAAGGTACTCAGAATTGAGCATAAAGGCTTGCAGTGTGCACATACCCTAATCTCAGCAAGAGAGGGAATATGTGTATTTCTTGACAGCCAAGACACAATCATAGCAAGTCAGTCTTCAAGCAAGTCCACAATTGAGTTTGTACTTAAAAACGTCATTGCATTATCTTTGAGTGATCTAATGGCTTGTAGATTATGCAAAGTGTTGATGGGACGTATAAAATCAAATCGATTAAAATACTTTTTCCAAGTTCCTTCAAGTGTACATCCTCAACAGGTCAATGCAAGAGATCTATGACCCACAAAAAATCCCTTGGAACGCATATTTTTATGCGATAATCATATAAGTAACTTCAGTAGCACTAAAACATGCATGTATGTACAATTGATCAGCCAGTAATTAGATCCCTTTGCATGTAGTTCCAGTTGGTGGAGGGTTGAGTCCTTGTGGTCCCCCCCCCCCTTCCTCCCTCATCTTGTGTGTCCCAGCTCACACTCCAGCTTCCTGTGGGATAGAGCCGAGCCTGGGGGCAGAGAGATGTCTGTTTCCAACCAACGAGCTCTGTCACACATGCTCCAGCTTGTCAGGCTGAGTTTGTGTGAGCGTGATTGGGTGTCACAGTGAGAGTATGCGTGTATCTGTGTGTCTCTGGCTGTCTTCTTGAGCAAGTGTGTGTGTTTAGATGTTCAGAGATATGGGTGATTTCTCTCTGTGGGTTGAGGTGGCTGTCGAGGACATGATGAGAAACTCACATTAGTTCTCTTGAGGTCCAGGTTCATCTCAGGTTGCCTAAACACAACTTTATATACTTGTGAGTTTTATCTCAGGGACAAGACTCTGTAAAACATTTTCTGTCTCTTGTTGCAATGGAAAATAAATAGTAGGTATGTGGCATATGATACTTGCACGCGATAACTAGCGCTGTTTATTAGTATACAACTTTTAATTCATCCAACTAAGATAAATTCAGGAAAGGCTTGTGTGGACTTTCATTTGGCAAAAGTTCATAGATACGTTGCCAACTAACCAAATCAAATGTTATGCGACTTGAGATTTAGCCTGTGGAAATTTGGCTCACATTTATATGTAAAATATATTTAAGTAGCCATATTTGTTTTTTATAATTGCTTAGTGTGAACCTGAATTTAAATATTTGTTATCAGAAGGCGTTAAAGCGTTTTTATCAAAAAACGAGTCTTCATATTAGCTAGAGTCCTCAATCATATTTGATGTTTTTCAAACTCAGGGAATTAATTCTGCATTTTTTCTTTGGGGCAATCTGTTCAGTACTGTCCTTTCACAGTCAGGGCTCTGGCATGTTTATGTGGTTCCACATCATGCCTGATCACTGACAGGCAGCATGTTAGGAGACAGTCTGCGGTGCCCAAACATCAACAGGATTTGTGTATATTTCTGTTTAAGTAGAGCTGTGTGTCTTAAAGTTAAACCTTTCTACACACACACAAAGTAGCCTACTTTACCTCAGTACTTTTCCCCCAGTTGGTCGGCCATCAGAGCAGGCTGGTGGCATGTCTGAGGCGTGTGGCTTACCACCATGTCATTGCCTGGAGGGCTCTCGCTTTCTGTTGTCACCTATGCACACAGACACACATAAACATGACACTCGAAGAAAACATTTAATACAGTTCTCTAAGCAAACACTATGTGAATTTCTGTCTGTGACTGTTTTACATTTGTAATATTACAGTTAGTTCAGATTTGTGCTGTGATTGGTTTGACGTTAGACTTTCACGTTACTCTGGAGGCTTATTCAGTCCTCAGACAGGCACGTTAAATTAGCATTACATTTACATAAAGGAAAGCATGTGTGAATGGAGCTTAGCTAATTATTTTTCCATTTGACATATACATGAGTTATAATGCTTCAAAAATCAAGGCTGTAACTGTAAGGGATTTATATCTAATGTGAAACTGTGATATAAGAACCAGTTATTGGCAATTAGACTATGCAGAATGTGTACATAGACACGCATGCATTCACACACACTCATCTTTCGCCGCACAACCTTCTCATAAACCCACAGGTCAACAAGGGAGTGGTTTAACCTCAGCCAAGTGGGGTTTGGGAGTTGAGGGGAAGTGAAATTAGCCAGTAGAAGATAATTCACTGATCCATCCTCTCCTCTCCGTAAACACATTGAAGAGCAAACGTTTTTAACTTGGAGTGTTAGCGCCAGAGCTCTTCTGCTAACTGACCCGGGGCTCTGAAGAGCTGCACATAACAGGCGCCCACATTGGCTTTTGTGTGCAGGAGGGTCTTTACATAACCAAGCACATTGTCTAGCAACCAGCCCGCTACTGAAGGGCCTTGTAAATGGAGGAGGGGGTCTGCTTGAGTGGAGGCCAGTAGCCGGGTTGAGAGGCTAGTGGAGCTAAGCTAGATCATGACTAAAGGATAGTTTGTTAGGGTTAGGGTTATGCCCCTAAAGAACTGATGCAATAAGCTCCCTCAGAAGCATAGCGGCTAATAAAAAGTTGATTTTAATACAAATTAAAAACAAAAAATCTGATAAAGTATGCCTGCTTGGCATCTGAAAGGGTTTCTGAAAAGGTGTAAAAGGTGTCTGAAAGCCTCCTGTCATACTTTTCACAAAATTTCCCATTTTTGCCAAACTAAATGAATTCTTAGTTACCTAACGCCCCTCATATGCTCCCTATAACTCCACAAAGCCCGGCCTTCTTCACCCTGTTTCCAGAGTTTGAATCTGAGCCAGAATTCCCTTGGACCTGCCCAGGATGTTGAGGTATATTTTTCCTCCCCGCTCATGGCGATTAGTTTTTTCAAGATGTTTTCTTTTGGCAGAAATGAAATGTTTGCATGTCTCTCTCATTGCACCGGAACACACCCTTAAGACTCAATTTTTAATAAATACGTTCTGGAGTTGTTTTACAATACTTTAGTGGGGGATGTTGCTTCAGGAGGGAATGTAACTAAATTCAGATTATTATTATATGTATAATATTATTATATATTAATGAATTATTATAAGTATTTACATGTTGTTACATTTTAAATGTAAAAAAGTATATAAGCGAACTGAAGTAACTTATTTTTACCTTTACTATAATTTTGCTAGATTTATTTCCATCATCCAGGTATTACAGTATAAAAAAAGTATTAATGACTGAAGTACATCTTCAGTTTTGACTAATACCAATTGTCCTCACATGGTTGCGTCAGTCATTTGTGTGGCAACTCAACAGGTTCTCAATTGTAACTGTGATTTTGACGCAGCGACTCATTATCAGCTCCACACTTCAGCTTAGATCAGATGATAATGACCCATTTATCACTGACACTTGATGCCCCTGTCATTCCTAACAGCTCCCTGCCAGGACAGAGGAAGCTTTTACTGCTGGTCCCGAGATGTTACTATTGTCTCCCAATACACAAAGACAAGGTGTCCTGATGGCCCCTGATGGCCCCTGAATGAGTCCCTGGACGGCCCCTAGTTGCACCACGGAAGGTTTTCTCGCTATTGTCAAACCGGCTGCAATCACCGGGCACGTCCAGAGTGAGGAGGTGGAGGGAGGAGGGGTGGATGTGGCTTGTATGGGTGCTTTGAAAAGATGTGTGAAATAGGAGTATGGGTATTAAGGGTCTTGGCTCAGTTGGGGGTCTATTGTGCTGAAGGCTGAGCCCCCTACTGGCATCCATGATCTCCTCCATTGACACAGAAGCTCTGCTCCGCTCCCTGTGTGTTTTTTGTTAACCTCTTTCTCACTACTTCATCACCCTCCCTCGCTTTCTCTCACTCCCTTGTCTCTTTACCTCCCTTCTTCAACTTTGTTTTTGCTCGGCAGTCACAGCAAAAGAGTCTGGAAAGTCCTTTCCTCTCCAGATTGAGTTAACTGGATTCACACTGATGCGTGTAATGGCTGTGAATGGCAACCATGACAGGTGAACTGCTACTGTAATAGTGTATTTTAGGAAGGATGTAAGACACAAACTCAGTGGCCAATCATATTTGGACACATGCGTGCTTAGTCAGGGCTGTCATTTATATTTTAGAAACACTAATGAACTAAAATCTACTCAGCAGAATCCAATCCGTCACCAACAAAACTCAACAAATTGTCTGAGTATTTAAAACAATTACATAATCTCTCATGTAGCTTGAGCCCTGCTCTTAGTACCAGTTTAGGGAAATAATAATGCAAATGCATACAGTTATGATTTAATATTGTGCTTCAAAGCTGGTGGCAATAGCTCGGAGGACAACGTTTCTTGTTTTCTTGTTTCAACATGTTAAGAAAATACAGTGATGTTTTTTAAGTAGAAACAACATAAAAGTGCTGAGCTAAATAATTTTCCCAGTGGAAATACGTGTGTACAAAATTATTTTTGCTTTGATTTAAAGTATCTTCTTCTCTTTCTAATCTATCCTTTCTACCCGTTACACGCTCGATGTGCTCGGGGTGATTCAGACGCAGGTTGTGAGCGTGTTTCGGACAGATTGTGAATGTGTGTGTAAATACACCTATTTGCACAGCGTTAACCAGCTTGTGTGAGGCCAACAGGAGTCGTGCGATTGTCAATAGTAGAAGTCAATAAAAACCCGTCATTGACAAAGAGAGAACAAACAGCATTGGTTTGTCCAGGATTTCCTAACAAACACGCACTGTGGATAGTGCAGAGACAGAAAGGGAGGCAAAGAAGACTCTCTTATAACACCAGATCAAACAGAGTTTTGTCCTTATGAATACAGTCTATGGCATTGTCTGACTCATCGCCCTATTCTTCAAGGAGCAAATATTAAAAGGCACGGGATCCTTGTCTAACCTGACAGCAGAGGGGGACGAAGTACTCCGATCCTTTACTTAAATACAATTAAAAATACTCAAGTAAAAGTAATGCATTGCACATTTTACATGAGTAAAATAACAAAAGTATAAGCATGAAAATGTACTTACGGTTCCAAAAAGTAATAATTTTGCTAACAAGTGAACACAAGTGAAGTTTTTCAGAATGGTACATCTATCCAGCTCTGCAAACATACTGTTCATTGCCTCAAGGTTCAACAGATCAGTGCCTTTTGTTTAATGAATCAGTTCCAAAGGTTATTGCACTTTTCCTGAAATCACCATAAAGAGAAAATCAAGAAGTCTGACCCCCCCATGTCCCTTGTAAATGTCTTCAGCTGGTGCAGACCAGTCAGACTGGGACAAATGTGCAGGCTGAACGCCCGCGGTCTGCGGAGAGAAAATAAGGAAGGACTGTGGGACCTTGTAAAAAAAAAAAAACTAGTGTCACAGTTTGGCTTTACAGGAAGTAATGTGTTTGCTGGTGTACTTAAGCTTTTACTCTTGGCACTTCTGTGACCACTCTATGCCCTCTGCTTATTCCTGTGGATATTAAACTTGCTCCTCGGACAATAATATGCTTTCACTCTCACTCTTTTTCTAATGCATTGCGGCAAACTACTCTAGTTAAGGGTATTGCTAATAAGTAAATGTGTGAAATGTGAATGACAACAGTGAATGACAACAGTGTCCCCGGCTTGCACTGTCCCTCGGGATAAGCCGTCACAATAGGAGCACAACACTAGAGCCCTTATGCAAACAAAGTGTTCTTGAATGAAGGAGGCATTTAAAAATGATCGCTCTCCGCAAACAGAATGCGTCCCTCCTCTCTCTGTCCCGCTGTCACCCGCCTTCCACCACCCCCCTAAACTCCCTCATATTGTCATTCTCACCTTCTTTCTCTCCCTCTCTCCCAATTCTTCCAATCGGTCCCGTGCTTGTTGAACACATTTGGCCCATGCTAAACCTGGAGTGACAAATACTCCCTTCCTCTGGTCATCAAAGGGCTATATCTGTGCCCTTGTTTTCTCAGAGCTTCTGAGGGGCTGATCAGTGGAGGAGTGGTAAGGGGAGAAGGTGCTATGATGCTGGATATAAGTTGGAAACAGGGAATGAGTGGCCAGACTGGGGGAAAGAGGGGAACAAAATACGGGGAGACTAAGATCGGAGGTGGAGAGTGTAGTGATTAAAATTCATCCCACGGTGCAAACAAAAGGAGGAATGAAAAAGCGGGAGAATGCAGCAGAGAAGAGAGAGAGTGTTTGGGGGGGGGTAAGAAAGATTTGGGGTGAAAAGAAGATTGTAAGCCTCAGCAGATCCCTGAACAGCCCCCCTCCTCTAAATGACTGCCTTTGACTCACAGCACAATTATCCTCTGAGACAACGGAAAACAAGGGGAAAAGAGTGGGGGAGTAAAGAGGAGAAGGAGATAGATAGATGAAGAGCAAGAGGCAGAGAAGGAGAGAGGCCATTAATTATTCGGCAGGCTTTTCCTCCGAAGATTTGCAGAGGCAGGCTGAACAAGGGGTCAACAATTGACTCAATTACAAGACAAACTCTGGAAGGGCCCTCACCGGCACTCACTGCGGACCCTGCAGCTCTCGGGCAGCCTGTTGATTTTTTTTCTCCCCCTCTTTTCTTTGCCGGTAAATGTTTGCCCCTCTTCAGGTGCCCCTGGCAGACGCAGGAACTCCAGCCCTCGGCTAGACTTTAACCTTTTCAGCCGCTGAATCATTCCCCTCTCTGTTCTCCATGAAGAGCCAGAGGAGAGAGGGAGTGAAGAGGCAGAAGAAGGGCTAGAAGCTTTCTCTTTGTCAGGCTTTATAGCTGGTAATGAATAAGAAACGTCTGATGACCCAAGAGGACAGTTTTTTTTAATGGCACAGGTGGATTTTTCCTCTTTTAATTCTAGTTGCCCTCTACCAACATGACAAATACTTTTATAGACACTGAAGAATTGCAAACAAATGAAAGTTATTAAATGCTGGATATTATCATAACAGCCTTTGTCACTTTGTATTGTATCTGAGCTGTTTTACAGGATACCTTGATTCAGTAAGTTTTTATCATTTTGCAAAACAACACATGTTCATGCAGCTGTAGTCAAGCCATGGCGATTGTTGTCATTAAAAGGGTTAGCAGTTACAAGCATACATCATTATATAATCTGAATAAACTATGGGCTTTATTGTTTGATTCATACTTGACATAAACGACACAAAAAGATTAATTGTGCCAATGTTTTCAGTTGTTATGAAATGGCTATTGATAGGCACTATTAATTTATCGCTGATATAAAGATAAATTGATTGGTATTGTAATTGTCATTAATAAAATAATCATCGAAATAATATTGTAAAATCAGGAAGAGAGACCTGAGCAATTTAATTCAGCATACATTTAGATTACATTGAGTTACATTTTTGGCTCCAAAAACAGTGGATCCTACATTTCCCATAATGCAACTCGAACGCCTTTTTCATTTGAGCTAACCAGCCTTGTACATTTCCACTTATTTCAAATTCCACACTTCCAGTTTTTAACTCAGGGTGGCAAAAATGAGGTCTGAAGCTCAATCCAGGATAACCCTGGCATTATGATCTACATTATTATATTATAAATAATACTTAAGCCCCTGATAACATCACATATTTCTTCTTACCTCCTTAAAGGTTTTACAGATACGACACCTGCGTTTTCTGTCTGCAGTGACACTGTGAACAAATGAGAACTTATGGCAGCGCTCGCCATTGTTCCTGGTGACCCTGCGTTGATAAGGTCCGACAATACAGTGAGGAATGGGATTTCAACAATAGGTCTCCAGTCCCTCTCTCCTCAGTCAAAAGGACTGCTGAAGCATAGTGCCGCTCAACACTGCTCGCTCTCTTTCTCTCCCTCTTTTTTTCCTGTTTCTCTTTGTCACTATCATTTTCTCTACCTCTCTGTCTTTCTCCCTCTCTCCATCCCTTCTGATTCACCCCATCCCTGCTTTGTAGAAGAGAAAGGCGAGCATGAATACCACACACAGACTGCGAGTCGCCCGCTGCACAGAAACATTACTGCCGCCAGATTTTTTTCCATCTCAAGTGAATCACCTCTTTTTTCTCTCTCTACAGGAAACAGTGGTCAAACTGTACTCTTCTCGCAATCCTTTTATCTTTAACTTCCCCTACGTCGAGTCCCAAAGCCATCATTTTATTTAGTTGAGTTTTTATTTATTGCGAATTATGCATCTACAGGTCGTTACGGCCCGTCCACACACAGGCATGAAAAAAATCTTGAAAAATCCTGATGCTGGGCGTGTCTGAAGCTTGGCGATTTTTTGCGAGCAACGCGACCAACAACCAATCACATGAATCTCCT